GAAAAAAAAAAAATGCGACAAGTTTTAAATTAAAAAAAAAAAAAAAAAAGGAGCGAAAAAAAAATTTTAAACATTTTTTTTTGTTTTTTTTTGTTTTTTTTGTTTTTTTTTTTTTTCAAATACGATATACACGTTAAAGATATTATTAAATGTTCAAAGCCACAGCTGCAAGGCAACGTGAAAAGTTTTTTTTTTCTGTTTTTTTAGTCAAATATAATTAGGGAACTTGTCGGGTTGAAAAAAATTTACTGTTGGATATTTTCACATACAGCACAAAATAATGAAAACGAACGAAAAAAAAACAACAGCAACACACACAAAAAACACAAAAAAACAAAAAAAAATAAAATAAAATAAAAACACATCAAAATGTGAAAATGTTAACTTAACCTTTACTGCGTTATTTTTTTTCCTTTTTTCTCCTTTTTTCCTTTTTTTTTTTTTTTTAGTTTTTAAGCCTTTTATAAAATTACTTTTATTTTTTTATATATATATAAAAAAAAAAAACTTTTAACGAGCAACAAAAAAGTACATATATAAAAAAAAAAATAAATAAATAAGTAAACGATCTAGAAATTCATTTCTGTTTTTCCCCCCCTCCTTTTCCTCTCCCTTCCCTTTCTTCCTCCTTCCTCCCTTCTCCTTCCCCTTCTCTTCAAACCTCCCTCTTTCTCCCATTATACACATTAATTTTTCCGCAAGAAAAAACAGAAGAAAAAAATCACAAGCAGGGAACAGTAAAATTTGTTAAAAAACGTTTTTTTTTTGGGGGGGCGGGGGAGGGATGGGGAAAAATTAAAAACATAAACAAAAAAAAAAAGAAAAGTTGAACAATTTAATTATAATAAAATTTATTTTTAATAATTTAGAAAAAAAAAAAAAAATTCAAAAACGCAGTTTAATTTTTTTAATGCAGTGAATTTGTGTTTAGTCAAATGAAAATACAATTAAATTTATAATAATAATAATAATAATAATAATAATAATAATAATAATAATAATAATAATAATAATAATAATAATAATAAATTTAACAACAACAGCAACAGCCATTCGTTTTAATAAATGACGATGGTATAAATTTAACAAACGATTGTTAAAAAATTATTAAATGACGTCATTAAGTTTTTTTTTTTTTTTTTTAATAAATGACTACATAAAATTTATAAATTTGCGTTAAAACTATAAAAAATT